TGTGCTCTCAACAGAACTGTGAAGCTATCAAATGGCTGACCTAACTAATCACATGTGCAGAATGGCAACTGCAGATCAAACAGAGGCTAAGATGGCAGCTTCCTTGGCTGTAGAGGATAGGAGAGTTTAGTTCTGCTTTAATGACGGGTTAAAACCTGATTGTTTTTTTTCTTGTCCTGCCAGGGGAGAGTTGATTGCCCTCCCTGCTCTGGAAACCCAACACAAAAATCTCTTTGAAAGTGACCAGAGTGAAGGAAAATCCCAGCTAAAGCTGGCCATAGACTATTGGAATCCTCCATCCACACAATATATCAGGAATTACACTGAATGGGCTCAGCTGGGTCATGTGGAAGAGTCCTAATAAAGAACTTGTAACCAATCACATGTTAAAGTATAATTAAGTGCACTTTTTTTTTTTTTTGCTGTTCCCATTAGGAGAGATTCAGCCTCTCTTTGTCTTGTCTACAGTTTGCCACCCAGAGCAAAAGAAAATCCCAAATTTGAGTTGTCACCAGAACAGGAATAGGGGGGAAATCTTCCCATTGGGACACTCTTTCTGGTGACACCCTGGGATTCCCTCACTTTGGAGGTATTTCCTCTAACTTCCTTTGGCCATGAGACTGGAAGTGAAGGGAAATCTCCCCAATGGGACACAGATGACAATAAAACTGACAGGGGTTATAGCTCTCACTCTATCCACAATGTCTTCAGTGTTACTAAACCCCGGACCCTGCATTCACCATATCTGGTCTACCCGGACCCTGCATTCACCATATCTGGTCTCCCTGGACCCTGCATTCACTATATCTGGTCTACCCGACCCTGCATTCACTATATCTGGTCTACCCGGACCCCGCATTCACTATATCTGCTCTCCCCGACCTGCATTCACTATATCTGGTCTCCCCGGACCCTGCATTCACTATATCTGGTCTCCCAGGACCCTGCATTCACTATATCTGGTCTACCCGGACCCTGCATTCACTATATCTGCTCTCCCCGGACCCTGCATTCACTATATCTGCTCTCTCCGGACCCTGCGTTCACTATATCTGGTCTCCCCGGACCCTGCATTCACTATATCTGGTGTCCCCGGACCCTGCATTCACTATATCTGGTCTCCCCGGACCCCGCATCCACTATATCCGATCTCCGAGGACCCTGCATTCACTATATCTGGTGTCCCTGGACCCTGCATTCACTATATCCGGTCTCCCCGACCCTGCATTCACTATATCTGGTCTCCCCCGACCCTGCATTCACTATATCTGGTCTCCCAGGACCCTGCATTCACTATATCTGGTCTCCCCGGACCCTGCATTCACTATATCCGGTCTCCCCGGACCCTGCATTCACTATATTTGGTCTCCCACAGTACACACAACATGGAAATGCAATTGTTTTAGTAAATATAAACTGCTAAATACCTTTTCTCAACAGCAGTTAAAGCAGTTGTGACTTCAGCAGAGCATTGGTTAAAGCTTATAGGAGGAGTTTTCTTTCTGCTCTAGAAGAATGCAAAAACCCCTGACTCTCTGTCTGGACAGTGCTGATTGGCCCTGTGCTGATCACATGCACTCTCCCAAGAAAAACCTCTCTAGCAATACACACCAAATTGATCATGTGCATGTGGCTACAGGTGCAGTCTGTCTTATCAGGTGGGCATTTGAACAAGAGGAGGAGCAGAAAAGACAGGATCAGACATCTTTTACACAATGCAGAGGATTAACCCTAGATTCCACAGTGAGTATAACAAGCATGCTTTACTGCATATACAGACTGATTTTACTGTTGTGGGTTTTAGTAACACTTTAAGGCTGCAGGGTATAGTCCTAGCGGCTGCTTCACCTGTATACTCACATTGTATACAGCGGGTCGCGTCACCTCTGTATACTCGCATTGTATACCGTCATATATAATGGCAGCAGCAGAGGGTCGCGTCACCTCTGTATACTCACATTGTATACCTCCATATATAATGGCAGCAGAGGGTTGCGTCACCTCTGTATACTCGCATTGTATACCTCCATTTATAATGGCAGCAGAGGGTCGCGTCACCTCTGTATACTCGCATTGTATACCTCCATTTATACAGTAATGGCAGCAGAGGGTTGCGTCACCTCTGTATACTCGCATTGTATACCTCCATATATAATTGCAGCAGAGGGTTGCGTCACCTCTGTATACTCGCATTGTATACCTCCATATATAATGGCAGCAGAGGGTTGCGTCACCTCTGTATACTCGCATTGTATACCTCCATATATAATTGCAGCAGAGGGTTGCGTCACCTCTGTATACTCGCATTGTATACCTCCATATATAATGGCAGCAGAGGGTCGCGTCACCTCTGTATACTCGCATTGTATACCTCCATATATAATGGCAGCAGAGGGTCGCGTCACCTCTGTATACTCGCATTGTATACCTCCATATATACAGTAATGGCAGCGGAGGGTTGCTTGGCTTTCATTACTGTCTGCATGGTGCAGCAATATGAAAGATGGTGGCTGCATATAATGGGATTCAATGAAAGGAGGGTAAAGGTCAGAATCTTCCATGTACTCCTAGACATACAAGGCTGTATAGTTCTGGAAGTCTCTGTATTAATAATCCTGCAGTTGTCTGCCTGTGTGGGGTCATTAGGGTAAATGGGGGCACACAGTACAGCTATCTATGATATATGGTGGTGTTTAGCCATGGATTAGTGCCACCTAGTGATCACAAGCAATGATTGCACCTGCAGCTTCTGATCCCAGCTAGAGGAGAACAAACTGGGGAATTGTCATGAAGAAGAGAGCGCTCGCAGCGCTTCACTTACTGGATGAACAGACATGGGTCTTCCCTGGTCTGCCAATATTTGGATCAATGATGCAGTGCCACACTAAATATATTCTGGTTGTCCCTGTGTTTTATCCTGTGCAATCTCTGGTATATTCGGCTTCTCTTGGGGTGCTGGAGAACAAAAGGTGCAGAAACCACCAATTTTTCCACTGCTGATTACTCTCCAAAAAGAGGAGGCATTTACAACTTGTGTTTTTATTTATAACCCGTGTCAATTTGATTTTTTTTTTTTCATTTCACAAGTAATATATTTGCTTTAGGGCCCATTCATACTGATGCATCGGCTACTCTGCTGCATTTAATTTGCAATTTTTAATGCATGATATCACACAATTCCGCACAAAGGGATTAACACTTCTATGGACCATACACTGGAACGAAAAAAAAAAAATCAAGACCGGTCATATTTTCCAAATTGTGCTGCAGAACGGCACAGAGATGTGAGCACCAATTATTATTTTTTTTTATGTAACATTAGGACAATGTGCACACATGTTGTAGTGCGTTGCAATGTGAACGGCCTCTATAGATAGGGAAATGCAGTTTTTTGGGGGGTTTTTTTTAGTGCATTGCAACAGTGTTTGATATCACTAGAGGTTCCCTTACAAACTTGGCCCTAAGATGTCCTGGGAGGACAGGAGCACTGTCAGGACCCGGGTCTGAACCTGCGACCTCCACTGTGTCTGACGATGTCTCTTCTTGCTGGGCCACCTTGGATGCTGTGAAGGAAATTGAATGTATTTTCATGCATTTGAGATCAGCTTCTGAAATCATTTAAGCTGGATTCACACCACTTGTAATTGGTGCACTAAACGCCATTGAGTTGACGCACAGTGACTTGTTTTTTGAACACTCTTCGGCACTGATGACATTTTTTTTTTTTTTTTTTTTTACTGCAGAAGCCAAAATATATTTTTTCTTTCCTTAATGTGTACAGTGATGCGCTATAATGTGCTGCAGCATGTCGTACTGCATTTATATGTTCCATTTTCACCCAGCACACAACTGTGCACTGAACCTATTGGGAGCAATGGATTTTAACTAGTTATTGCATTTGGCCTTTGTTGAGCAACGCAGCTCGATGCATGTGATGTGAACGGGCCCTCAGACTTTGACCTTCTTCTGACCTGCATTGGACCTGCTTCTAAACTGCATCAACCTGCTGCAAGCTGCTTTCTGCTTTCCTATTGATTGTTATGGTGCCCCATCATTGGTATCAATGGGAGTCATGGTGCCCCATCATTGGTATCAATGGGAGTCATGGTGCCCCATCATTGGTATCAATGGGAGTCATGGTGCCCCATCATTGGTATCAATGGGAGTTATGGTGCCCCATCATTGGTATCAATGGGAGTCATGGTGCCCCATCATAGGTATCAATGGGAGTCATGGTGCCCCATCATAGGTATCAATGGGAGTCATTGTGCCCCATCATAGGTATCAATGGGAGTCATTGTGCCCCATCATTGGTATCAATGGGAGTCATAGTGCCCTATTATTAGTATCAATAGTACTCCATCATTTGTATCAATGGGAGTCATGGTGCCCCATCATTGGTATCAATGGGAGTCATAGTGCCCTATTATTAGTATCAATAGTACTCCATCATTGGTATCAATGGGAGTCATAGTGCCCCATCATTGGTATCAATGGGAGTCATGGTGCCCCATAATTGGTATCAATGGGAGGCATAGTGCCCTATTATTAGTATCAATAGTGCTCCATCATTGGTATCAGTGGGATGAATAGTGTCCCATCAGTGGTATCAATTGAAGAAATAGTGCCCCATCAATGCCACATTGATGCTGACAGTGGGAGGAATAATGCCCCGAGGGCCAGATAAAAGCAAGCAAAGGGCCACATCTGGCCCTCGGGCCGCAGTTTGGAGATCACGGTTTTATATTGATGTGGAAAGCTGCCGCACATTACTTTGTTTTCCACAGCACAGATTTTTTATATGCTTTACCACAACTACACTGATCATGCAGGATAGACTCCAAACAATCCACATGCAACCTGAGCTATAAGGTGACCCAAAGGTTGGTTTTCTGACATTTCCCAGCATGCCTTGGCCCGGTTCAGAATTTCCAGGCTATTGTTTATTATAACATGTATCAATTATTATTAATTGTGGCCTGTGTTCTTTACATTGACAGCACCCAGCTGTTTCCTGGACTCACCCATCGGTGAAGATAAAGCCAAGCTAAGCAGCAGAATGAAGTTCTTACACCCCGCTGGGGATCACTTCACTCTGATCACCATCTACAGAGAGTATAACCAGATGAGGAGGAACAATTTCAGGCCATGTAAGTGACAGGAATAGTCATTGCGCTGTTACTGTGTTCCTGGTGCTGAATACTGACAGATCATATGCATCCTGATGACCTCTTAAAGCTGCACTGCTGAAAAATGATATCGTATTGAGAGCAGCAAAGCATATGTGAAGGAAAGTTTTTTTGTTTTAATTTTTTTTTTTTTTTTTTTTTTTCTATGATCATTTGTTCTGAGGTTTCCGAGTGTCTGTGGGACTGTCACTTGTGTCACAGTAATTGGGAGTATTTTGGGGGTACAAGAACTGTGGCAGAGGTGTAAAGGGGATACAGGGACTAGGCTCAGGTTCTTTTTAATGACCCCACTTTTAAGCCACTCCCACTGTTAGGCACAACCTGACCATGACCTCCATTTGCCATGGCACGCTATGTGCGCTGCTGGACTTGTTTCCTACTCAGTCCCAGGGTTCTTCGGGTCTTTCATATTACTACAGTAGTCATGCTTACATTTTGTCATCCTGTTTTCACTTTTTTATTGTAAAGCTATCCGATCCGATTTTATACATTTACTACACTCAGAAAGTGCTGCTGTTTTTTCTACTTATTATAAAGGCAGCAGATTACTTGTTATGAGCATTGTGGATGTTTACATATTGTTTATATTTTTGTCTACTTTCACACTGATCCATTTTTCTTCCGCTCTTGCGTTAAAAAAAATGGTAGAAAATGTGAGACTGTGTAATCCTATGGAACTCTTCACACTGATCCATTGCAGGTCCACTGCATTTAATAAAATTCCACTGCCTGAATTTTTGGTGCAGTTAAAAAAAAAAAGCACCTCCCCGTTGAAATGCTTTGAAAACGCAGCAAAAACACTTTACAAATGCACCTGTATTGCGTTTTTTATGCAGTTTTTGACTCGCGTGTACTGTGTAACAACAAACGCGGCAAAAATGCGGGTCAGTGTGAAAATATTCTCAATCTATTCATTATAATTCTATCCACTATTTATGCTTTAATTCTTGAGAGTAGATACGTTAATTGGGACAAGCTGGTAGGGGCTCCAGTACATTACTTTGCCCAGGGGCCCATGATACTATTAAGACGGCTCTGTCTCTCCTCCAGGCAGAAGGCCAAATACACAGAGTCAGGGGCAGATTGACAACTCATTGGGCCCCCGGGCAATAGGGGATCATGGGGCCCCTGTGTCCTTGCCCAAACTCAAAAAAGCCTATGAAAAAGGTACCAGGGGCATCTCATGGGGCCCCCCTACTGACCCCAGGCCCTCAGGCAGTGCCCGAGTTTCCAAATGGTCAGTCCGCCCCTGTACAGAGTACATGCATATAGCGGAGCTGTATGACCTGTCAGAGGAGTTGTATTTCTGTTCATCCATTCCTGAGATTTACACAGCTCTGCCACTCCACATAGTCCTCTCTGGCTTGGTTGGGGACCTAACATTTCTCTGCTGCAGTCCAGTAATAGTTACAGGTCTCCTCCTTTGCCCACCCCACCCTGTGACTAGACAGTGAAAGGAGAAGCAGAACACTGATAACCTCATCTATCTGTCAGTCTGCTGTCTCCTCCTATCGGTCTGTATGTATGACCAGTGAATGGTCTAGTATTGATCGGTGCGATCTGGGCCTTCAGAGGGGGTTTGTGACTGATGAAGGTGTGATGTCTGTGAGACTTGTTTAGGTCTTAAACTGCTGCCTCTCTAAGTGCCGGTTAACACATGCGGTTCTCTGCAGTGCAATTTCATTTTGAATGGGCTGAAATCGCACCACACCCCACCAGAAAGTAGTACATGCACTACTTTTTAAAATGCACTGCAACTGGATCACATGGTACAAAAGTACTATGCGATCCGGTGTGAGCAAACACCTGAGACCTGCATTTCGGGGGGGGGGGGGGGGGGTGCTAAGCTTTTATTGACACCTGCCGCAGATCGTAAATGTAGTATGTTTTGCACACGGTTTGAATCGCACAGCATGTTCCTGTGTGATTCAGTTGCAGGCATGGAGTGACCCGGCCCTGAAGGCAGCAGATTCTGTGCAGGGTCATCTTGGGTGAGTGTAGAGGAGCGCACAGTATAATAGTTTGTCAGAAATGCTGTTATATTGAAGAAGTTTATTTAAGAAATTGACTCCCAGCTGATAGAGAAACCCAACCCGAGTGGTGTGGTGGTGTGGTCAGAAACACCTGAAACCGGTGAACTGCTACGAGTATGACCCGCTCTGTACTATCAGACTGTCGAAGTGGCATGCTCTTGTTGTATAGGGGATTGCAAGGCACCCAGGTGGTCAAAATCAGTTCCTGCCCTATACATACTGTACATTCCCACCAGTCCCTGTCCTATACATACTGTACATACCCACCAGTCCCTGCCCTATACATATGTACATACCCACCAGTCCCTGTCCTATATATACTGTACATACCCACCAGTCCCTGCCCTGTACATACCCACCAGTCCCTGTCCTATACATACTGTACATTCCCACCAGTCCCTGTCCTATATATACTGTACAAACCCACCAGTCCCTGCCCTGTACATTCTGTACAAACCCACCAGTCCCTGCCCTGTACATTCTGTACATACACACCAGTCCCTGCCCTGTACATACTGTACAAACCCACCAGTCCCTGCCCTGTACATACTGTACATTCCCACCAGTCCCTGCCCTGTACATACCCACCAGTCCCTGTCCTATACATACTGTACATACCCACCAGTCCCTGTCCTATACATACTGTACATTCCCACCAGTCCCTGTCCTATACATACTGTACATTCCCACCAGTCCCTGTCCTATATATACTGTACAAACCCACCAGTCCCTGCCCTGTACATTCTGTACATTTCCACCAGTCCCTGCCCTGTACATAATGTACAAACCCACCAGTCCCTGCCCTGTACATTCTGTACATTTCCACCAGTCCCTGCCCTGTACATAATGTACAAACCCACCAGTCCCTGCCCTGTACATACTGTACATACACACCAGTCCCTGCCCTGTACATACTGTACATACACACCAGTCCCTGCCTGTACATTCCCACCAGTCCCTGCCCTGTACATCCTGTGCATTCCCACCAGTCCCCGTCCTATACATCCTGTGCATTCCCACCAGTCCCCGTCCTATATACATCCTATGCATTCCCACCAGTCCCCGTCCTATACATCCTGTGCATTCCCACCAGTCCCCGTCCTATACATACTGTGCATTCCCACCAGTCCCCGTCCTATACATCCTGTGCATTCCCACCAGTACCCCGTCCTATACATTCCCACCAGTCCCCGTCCTATACATCCTGTACATTCCCACCAGTCCCTGCCCTTTACATACTGCTTCTGTTTAAAGCTGAACTCCAGGATTGTAAAAGAATACCCTGCAGGTCGTCCCCCCAGACTACAAGGATTAAATGCTCTTTATTTCTAGGGATTTGGGATGAGGCTCCATTATTTACCGTACTCCCCGCTCTGGCTGGCTTTGGATTTACACAATAGACCTTTAGTCCATCAGAGGATAGTGTGAACCCGTTTAAAATGTATCCAGACAAGGCAAGGCTGGGGATCCGCCTGCTGTTCCTGCTGATGTCTTCTCTCAGCTAAGGATGGTCCATCGGCTTCATCCTGTACAATGTAGGGCTATCAATCCTGCATTGTATGTGGAGAATGGGAGGCAGCAGTGCTGTACCAGTCACATTGATGGAGGAAGCCTGCTGGAGCCAAGTGATTACTCCTTATTCCTGTCCCCCTAGACTTGATAAACATTGAACCCTTGCAGTGGGGGGCACTGCAAGCATCATTTGTTTTCCAGTCCAAATTTCACATAAAACAAAATGCATTGAATGATCAAATCCAAAGTGCTGACTGTAGCTGAAGCTAGTATTTGTATATAAAAGTGCTCTGGGATTTTCGGGCCCCTGGGGTGTCTGCATGTTCTCCTAGGTGTCTGCATGAACATTCCTATTGCAGTTTGCAGTATTAGAATTCAGTAAAGAATCACTGATGGCAGAGAGGTGAGGACGCATCTCTGCAGCAAGGGAGTCATTCTAACTCTGAATCTGGCTGTTCGGCTTTTGCTGGTTTCTCATGAACTGGTCAAAATTCAATTAGTGGGTGGCCCTGTCATACCCCGACATTCTTTAAATTGAAGGAGCAGGTGGAAAGTTGTTGGCCAAACAGTGTCTGCATCCATTCAGATGCAGCTGCTGTTCGGGTATTCTGAGAGATGGTGGGGCTGATTTGTCAAAATACAATAGCCATGCATGCTGTAAAGCTTGGATAGAGGCATTTGTTAGAAATCTGTGTATGGCCAGCATTGCTTCCACCTCAGCAGGGAACAGCAGGCGGATCCCCAGCCTTGCCTTGTCTGGATTCATACTAGACGGGTTCACACTATCCTCTGCTGGACCAAAGGTTTGTTGTGTAAATCAAACGCACAGGACATACAATCCTCAAGATGAAGAGTCATAGACCAGGAGAGGTGAGGGGTATGGCCCTCCTCTGAGTCATTCTGTAGTGTTTGTCATCTGACCTGCCAGCTAGTCAGGTCTGTTTCACAACTGCTATCTGATCCTCTGTAAGGTGCTCTTGCTTTGAGCTTGCCACCTACTGGCTGTAAGTGGTAAATAGAACCAATTTATGTACAAAAGTTTAATATCACATTTAAAAAAAAAAAAAAACAAAATAAAACCTCTCTCTGTTACAGACGTCATTGAGAGGTGGTGTCAGGATCACCTATTGAACTATACTGCACTAGAGACGGCGTGTGTCATACGAGGGGAACTGCTGGACATAATGAAGAGACTGGAACTGCCAGTTTCAGAACCGGCTGTCGGCACAGATGAGAATATCTTGAACATAAAGAAATCTCTTCTCTCTGGATATTTTATGCAGGTAGGAAGCCCCCTGGGGTCATTTAGCAATACCACAAGAACATTTTCAAGGTATATTCACTGAATGGCCAAAGGTTTGTGGACATCTAACCTACAGTATATGAGCTTGATGGAAATCCCATTCCACAGCCATGGAGGCATTCATTTGGGATCCCCACTCCCACCCCTTTGCATCCATAATGCTCTCCACTCTCCTGGGAAGGCTTTCCACAATATTTTGGATTGTGTCTGTGGGAATTTGTATCCATACAGCCACAAGGACATATTTGAGATCATGTTCTGATGTGTGTGGAGACCTGGCTCACAGTCGGCGCATCGTCCCAACAGTGTTAGAGTTGGGGTCTAGGCATTGTGCTGGCCACTCGAGCTCCATCAGTGTGTAGGATGCATGAATGAAGCAGAAATAGGCAGATTCTTGCACTGTTGGTTCTTAGGTACAGCTTCCACTCCAGCAAGGAAATCAGCACAGTGGTGACATCTGCAGTCCAAATTGCATAAGACTAGCAATTACAGGCACAGTGTCTTAGATGGTAGATCACTGCAGATATTCAAACATGAGGCTACAAAACGGGTGCCTAGACACAAGAGCTGCACTGCAATGTTTCAGGAGGATTTCAAGGCAAAAGGTAAGTTCTTCAGGATACTTGGGCACAGCTAATCTTTCTCGATGTTCCCCATAAGACAGAAAATATTCGCTTTCTGGTTTCAGGTCCACTTTAGACCTCAAACACCCATGTGAGGGCTGCGATTACCAACACGGGATGCTCAGGTGTTCTGTGCAGGCAGTCCCATTAATGTAATATTGGGATGCAGTGGTTGTCCAGACACAGCCGCTGCTCCCTAATTGACATCCCTGCGAATGCATGTCCCCTAACGCACACTGTGTTTGGGGGCATGCAGCTGCACGGATGTCAAATTGAGAGCAGCAGCTGTGTCTCAATAGATATCAATGGGACTGCCTGCAGTGGGTTGCATGGAACTCCTGTGCATCCCCATGCAGGCAACTCAGCCCTTGTACTGCTGTATGCTTATGGATGTCCGTGTGAACAAGGCCATAATGAAGGAAATGGTGATGAATACAGTATGCGTGGTGCAGTAATTCCCACACAGCACTTCAAAAATCATAGGGTAGTCCAACCTGTCTGTATTTTTGACTGCCATCTAATGCCCGTGGTTATGTTTTTCATTAAAATGTTCTAAAATCGCACAGACTGATGCAAGCTTGTTTTACAGATCGCCCGGGATGTTGATGGTTTGGGGAACTACATCATGCTGATGCACAAACAAGTAGGCCAGTTACACCCCAGTTCGGGGTATTGCCTCAATCACTTTATCCCAGAATGGGTCCTCTTCCATGAATTCACTGGTAGCAGACAGGAGCTGTATCAGGATTGCCACAGAAATTTCCCCTGAACTGTAAGTACTGAAAACACCCTCTCTGACTTCCCAAGAACTGCTTTTAAAGCCCCCCTCTAGCCCAAACTCTTAGATTTATATACAGCAGGGGAGGGATTAAACCCCCGCCATGTTATTGTTGCCTGTGTCTCTGTTGAGGAGATATCCCTTCACTTCCTGTTCTGGTGACGCTGTCACTCGTGTTGCTGGAGACAGGAAATGAAGGGAAATCTTTGTATGCAATCCTTTCCACTTGTATGTCTGTCTTTTTTTCTCTCTCTCTCTCCCTGCCCTCCTCCTCCTGTATCTCTCCCCCCCCGCCCCCTCTACACTTCTTTTGGGTTAGAAACTCAAAGTATTGAAGTTGAAGCATCAGCATGACAGTCAGGCAGTTGGCATTTTCAGAATGAGAGGTTGGTACTGGTATCCTATAGGATTCATTATAGGTGCATTTATCTGAAGATGTTAATGTATTCCTCAATTCACCACTCATCACCATTTTCACCTTCAACTTGCAGTAATTAAAGATATTTGGGTATTTCGGGAGCACGATAATGTTTTCCAGCCAGTCTGAAACCAGGGCTGGGGTGTATGAACATGCATCATTTTACCCCTAGGATTAGCAGAGCTGCATTCTATATCCATAAAACTCTGCGCTTCTGATTCCCTCCATACACAGAACTGTGATTAGAGGGAAAAAAATAGTGTGGGCGGCGAGAAAGAACAAAAAGCGGCGAGGTTCCCATCTGCCCCCACTGTGGAGAGAGATGTCACTTGCTGCAGTGGCTGGCTGGATAATCTGTGTTTTATTGAGATCACAAAAAGCAGAGACCATTTCTTTCCCATGTACCTCTGCCTGTAAATCCCAGTATAAACAGGGGAAGCCAAATGTTACTGTAAAGGAAGGGAAACCGGATTAACTGCTCAGCTATAGGATCCCTGCCTTGGGGTGCCTTGTATTTCATAAGTAAAAAAATGGAGTTTAGAAAAACTAATATATTACCAAAATTCATTCAGGTTCCAAAATCTGATATACTCTGTTTCCGTTAATAAGAAGGGGAGGAAACGTGCCCCATCATTGGTGTCAGTGGGAGGAATAGTGCCCCATCAGTGGTGTCAGTGGGAGGAATAGTGCCCCATCATTGGTGTCAGTGGGAGGAATAGTGCCCCATCATTGGTGTCAGTGGGAGGAATAGTGCCTCAGCTTTGGTACCACTAGGTGAAATAGTGCCTCAGTATGTGTCCCTATTGCTGTAAAACACTTATTTTTCCTTTTATGTTTACATTGTTGTTAAATGTATTATGCAGAATAAAGTTACAAAAATAAATATTAACAGTGTCATTTCATGAGAATTTTACAAGGGCGTGTTTAGGGGCAGGGTAGTCTTAAGGCCTGGCTAGTAGCTCAGGACCTGACATTTTAGAACCCTGCCCTAGGTCATTGGTCACCATGCAGCCCTTTTTGCCTTTATTAGGCCCTCTCGGCACTATTCCTCTCACTGATATGAGACACTATTCTGTCAACTGCCACCAACAATGTGCCAATATTTCTCCCAATGATGGGGCACCATTCCTCCTAAGACCAAATGTGGTGCTTACTCCCCCGATACCAGGAAAATTTCCACTCCCGCTAACCACAGTCTAGCCCCCTAAACTCTGAAGGACAGTAAACTGGTCCTTTGATTAGAAAGTTTGGAGACCCCCTGCCCTAGTTGAAAGTGAAGGAGTCCAAATTGCTTTTTTTCCTAATATTGTCACATTAAAAAAACCAAATTGTTTCTCTGACTGGATGAGGTGGAGAGGCAGGATGGTGTTGTCACGCTCCCAGCTTCATCCAATCAGAGAACCATTTGCATTCATTTAGAAAGTGCAAAGTAAGTAACGATCACTGGAGCAGTGGTGTCTACTTCAGAGATTTCCAGCTTCCAGGGGCATTGGCCAGGTATAGTATATACGTAGTTACACTGGCCCAATGTAGTTATGTAGAGAATATCTATACCTGCAATTCCTCTTGAACTTTTTCCTATTCTGTTATAAAAATGGCCAGAGCTTTCTTTTCAGTTCTGGCTAGGAACCCTCTGTGTAATGGATACTCTAGATTGAAGCCATCATTGCACAGTGGCCTTGACTCTATCTGAAAGAAACATACCGATCAGGGTATTAGGTTTTCAAAGGAAATGTGTTCCTGAGACCTATACGTTAAAACCAGTGTTTCTCAAAGTTTTTCCAGTTGGGGCTCCCTTGAAAAATATTTTCAATGACGAGGCACCCCTGTCTGAGGCTAGGTTCACGTTACAGTGTGCAAAATCACACTCATTCCTGACACGCAAATGCTCTGCTCTTTAGGGGTACCATTAATTTTTTTTTAATGGTACCCCATCATACATTGGCAAGCGTGGGGTGTTTTTGGTGCAGTGCAATTTATAACAAAAAAAAAGGTGAGGGATGACTTTCCCTGCAGTTTTTGCAGGTAGGGCAGCCCATTGAAATGAATGGGCTGTCCTACACCCAGCCACCCAGATGTGAACTAATGACTTTTTCATCTGTGGAGGGTGGTGAAACCATGCAATTGAGATGTTTTTTTTTTGGTGTACTGCTGTCAGAGGTGCAGGGAGACTCCCTACCCTCTCTTCCCTTGTTCTCAGGGATTATCAGTCCTCCACATCCTCTGTGTCTATTGGTACCAGTGAAGAATTGAGGGCTAATTGACCATGTCTGCTCAGGGCCCTAGAAACAGGTTAAAAAATGCTGTAGGCAAGCAGAGAGCTGTGTGTCAAACTCAGCCTGGTGCCTGAGAACTACTGGTCCACCACCAAGAGTCCTAACTGAGCTCATTGTGACAGATGGGCCGCTTTTATTAACCATATCCTGGAAGCCACTTATGCATGCAAAGCAATCAGACCGAAATCCATACAACTTGTTTGATCTTTTTTAGGTTCATGCAGATGGTGCCCCAATATTACTTTAGCAATCTGCCCCCCAGTGAAAGCAAAGAGATCCTGGAAAAGGCTCTGGAGTGTACAACTAATATCGCTATACCAGAAGACCCGCCAGAAAATCAGGGGAAAGCTGCTGAAGAAGAAGAAACGTCTAGTGCAGCCGAGCAGAGATGTCTCATACAATAAACTCGCCTGGTAAATAAAAAAAAAGGCAATAGAAGTGCAATATGTGTTCCAAACACAAAGGATTTTTAATGAACTGTGAACTTGACTACAGACAGATGTTACACATTCAGGATTTCATAGACTTTTGTATATTTTTCTTGCAGAATTTTGTCTTGGTAAAAATAATAAAAATATAAATCCTGTTTATAGTACACTGTTACTGCAACTTGTTTCTTCATGAAATGTTTTCCCCATCCGAAGAAAGGCCCATAAACTCTAGGGTAGTGTATAAAAAGGAGTCACTGGTTCACCCTGGAAATACCTTTTTACACGGATAGATATTCTTTGAATTTCTCAATGATGGAGTTCATTTTGTCAGCTGGGACCAACATAACTGTTCTGAGAGGCTTCATAGGAACGTCATCAAAAGACCACCTTCCTCCTAGCTGCGTGTCGCTCTCCTCCTGTACAGAATAGCTGAATTTCAGGGTTGCTTGCTGCAAAGACACAAAAAACTTTAGCAACTTCTGCTGGAATACAAGAATATAGAAAACAGATTCCTGAATGTATGAAAACCAACCAGATTTCAGCTGTTTTGGCTGATGGGAATCCAAAAACAAAAAGAAATCACCTTTTTAATAATACAATCTTGTATACAATTACATAATGAAGTTTATGGGTCATTTCACAGCTATGTGTGTTTCCATACATGACATGTACCTGGAATGGGGCCCTTAAAGCAGTTGTAAACCTCAGACAAGAAATATGAACAAAGCATATCCCCTCTATAGAAAGTGCTTGTCTCAATCCAGAGCACTAAGTTTCATTTTTGGCTGCTGCTTCCATTCCCTGCTATTAGCCTGAGTCACGTCTGACAAGTTTTCCTGACACCAAGAGCAAAATGGTGACGGGAGAGAACAGCCCGTAATTGACAGCCTCAGCTCTGGAAGGAAGGCACACTCCCCCCTTCACAGGAACAAACAGCTCCCAGAGCTCTCTTCACTGATATAACTTCAGCTCCCCACCCCATGCTTTTTAGAGCTGAGAGAGCCTGTGTAAATTCTGCACTTCAAATGGAAGTAGAGAAAAGACAGCTATAGATAAACAGGTACAACTTGTGTAGGAGGTAGTGTAGCGCAATTACATAAAAATATATATACAACTTAATATATGATAGTGATATGAAAATAAAATGAATAAACATGCAAATGAGCAAATCTATAGTGATATGATCCAAAACGGATCTAATTAGTGCTACAAACAACGTAGTACAAAACCATGTGAAATAACAAACTGGTCCTCAACCAGGACTTCATGTAGTGAAAAAACAAAACAATCAAAAAAAAACTTCAGTGACAAAATTTATTTGATAAATTTTGTCACTGGTTTTTTTTTTATTACATATAAATGCTATCAATAATATGCAATAACAAAAACTTCAGTGACAATTTATCAAATAAATTTGGTCATTGAAGTTTTTTTTTTTGATTGTTTTGTTTTTTCACTACATGAAGTCCTGGTTGAGGACCAGTTTATTTCACATTGTTTTTGTACTACGTTGTTTGTGGCACTAATTAGATCCGTTTTGGATCATATCACTATAGATTTGTTCATTTGCATGTTTATTCATTTTATTTTCATATTAAGTTTTATATATATTTTTTTATGTAATAGCACAGCACTATTATTGTTTACACAGTTACTTATAAGGTATAAGATTGTTGGCCGCTTACTCACTTATCACCATATAGAAGTGCAGGAGGAACCCTATAGTAACTTTTCAATCAGCCAACAAAGGAACATGGTGACAGTCTCTCTTTAATCCACTCCCTGTGTCAACCTAAAATTGTTCTGTGCTTTTGCTTGCACTTTTCGAAGTGATGGCTTGCAATATTTTTCCTTTCCAGAAATAATATATTATTCACTTGCAATGTGCCTTTGAACCTGCGAGAAAATTTACTCCAGGAGAGTCGGCACCATAACACACAGCCTGCATGTCATAGACCTCTTCCAGGAGTGTTCAATCTATGTGCTGCTCTGCCCCTCCCTTCACCTCCTTCCATCACCTTTTATAAAGCTTCCATAGGAAAAGTGAAGTAAACACTAAAGAGTGGCACTTGTCACTCTGAGTCTGCTGGGGCGGCTATCCTCACAGTCAAGATGGTGGCATCAGTCTACCCCAGAGAGGATTTTACAGGTAAATAACATAAAATGAAACCTTATGCAAAGATTGTTAAAATAAAATAAATGTTCTGGTGACAGGCTCTCTAATATCATACCAGAATACACAAACCTTTATAACTGGAGGTAACGAAAGTGTGGAAAAATGTTCAATCAGTACATCCAACCATAATAAAGTGTGTGAAAGAAAAAACCCTGTCGCCTATAGAAACCTATCTTCACTTCATTATCAAACCTGCCTTGGAAAGATGGATCTGGTTGCTATGGACTGTTAAAAAAAAAAATATATATATATATATATCTTTGTTCCCCAGACATTGGAGAGGGTCATATGAAAGGCGCTGGATCCCGGGGTTGCTCCTAAATAAACCTTGCAGAGTAAGCAGGCTTTTGTTGGCGTGCAATGTGCCTGAGGGCCAGCTGACTTGAGATGGGCCAGCTGACTTGAGATGGGCCAGCTGACTTGAGATGGGCCAGCTGACTTGAGATGGGCCAGCTGACTTGAGATGGGCCAGCTGACTTGAGATGGGCCAGCTGACTTGAGATGGGCCAGCTGACTTGAGATGGGCCAGCTGACTTGAGATGGGCCAGCTGACTTGAGATGGGCCAGCTGACTTGAGATGGGCCAGCTGACTTGAGATGGGCCAGCTGACTTGAGATGGGCCAACCTTCTTGGAATATTTCCACGATGTCTAAGAAAAGCAGAAAATAAGAGCGCCACACTAAAGAGTCCAGTTTATTCTATGACAAGTATCCAAAACAGCAATCCAACCCATTAAGGGGGCCAAGCTGTACCCCCTTCATCAGGGCCTAAAATGTATAAGGAAGGAACACACTCCTATTTTCAACAAAGTATGTTAAGCGCCATTCTCTGCAGCTAATGACATACTTGCGATGAAGGAAAATACTATCGGACTCTAACTGCTGTGGGGTGGTACTCTTATTTATCTACATGGATTTGGGAAAATAGGCCTATTATATTCAGGTATGGATAACTCTGGTTGCAAAAAAACAAGATGGCGGCCTAGTTACTCCTGACAGCTGACTGTGCTAATTCTCATTTTTTCCTATCATTTGTTGAAAAATGAGACCCGAAGAGTTTAGGCCTGGACGCATCCCTGGCTGTATTTTTCACTTCCCAGCAGCAAAGTGGCTGCACAATGGCCCACATCAGATTTAGGGGAAATCTCCAACTGTTTAACATTATCTCCTACTAGTAACCTCATTATTGAGACACGCAGCTATCCCCGAGCTCCACATGTATCTTAGTCCCTCGCCTCCACATCTAGGGAAAGCACAGATCATTCAAATACATATTTTAATTAAATGTAATTGAGCGTGGATTAGATATGAGGCTCATTTTACACCTAGATTCTGCTGTAAAACATATTTTATGACCACATTAAAATGTAGTTTAACAGCAAGACAGCAAGAAATTTATCTGTGGACGACTATTAAACATGGGTTTACTATAGCCAAATGATCACATTTTACATTGGTGAGCAAAAAAAATAAATAAATGACAGGCCAGCAATCTACCCAAAATAAACATTTCTTCAATATTAGTTGGAAATCTTTTATTTCCTGAAACAATTTTACATTCACCGTTGTGGTAACAATCGTTTTCACATAAGCCGAGTGTAGTGGCCCTTTAAAATGTTTAAAGGATATCTAAACCCAAAAATAAAAGTGTAATGTAATCCAGCTTACCCAGTCCTTAGATGTGGTGGTTGCATTTGTTTTCTTTTTCAGGCTTTGTTTTCCTTTATTTTCACTTGGTTATCAATTCTCTAAATAAAGGTCTCTCACTCGTCCATTGTATCCATGCAGGGAGCCATAGTTGTCCATACAGGCTAGCAACTTGCAGACCAGTCATGTACCTGGTACATCACCAGTCTTCGAATGGTTGTACTGGGATGACGCCTGCAGCTTCAGGCATCATCTCAGTATGATTTTAAGAGCCATCGATCAGCTCTCCTGTAATAGTAATCGGAGCGAATCGCTATTACAAGAAGCAGGAGGGGACCCCCCTCCCACAGCTTGCTCAAGATTTCCATCACCCTGGGAGACCCGAGTGACCAACAGGAGCTTCTGCCAGCTGGTTGGAGAGTCAAACGAAGCCGGAATCAGCTATCTGCTATGGTAAGCTGGAAGCGATGACCTGTCATTACGGCGCCATTTTTAAAAACTCAAAAGGCATTTGAAAATACCAATTCGAAAACACCAACCTTGGTGTTTTGAAACGCGTTTAACTGCAGTCTTCTAGACCCCAGATCCCTCCACAAAGACTACCGGTCACATTCCTATTGCTGTCACAAGGGATGTTTACAAAAAAAATTAAAAATTTAAGTGCCCCCATCCACTCGCACTCATACCCAAAGGCGACCGCACACACGCAAACAGCAATTGTCTTACATGTGAGCTATCGCCATGAACGTCAGATCATGGGCAGTAATTCTAGCAGCAGACCTCCAAGTGGTAACCTGTAAAGGCTTTTAAAGCGTCAGTTATGGATAGTAAATTTATGTCGTTAGTCGCCATTGCAAAAGCATGACATGTTTGTTATCTATATTCTGCATAACATCTTTTATATTTTACAAAAAAAATGGGTTAAGTATTGTATTTTCAAATTAGAATTCAAAAAAAGTATTTTTCCCCAAAAAAATTTTATGTGCGCAGTGGTTGCAAAACCCACTATTTTTTTGGGGCAGCACAGTGGCTAGATGGTTAGCACTTCCGCCTGGCAGTACTAAAGCTGGTTCGAATCCCAACCACAGCACCACCTGCCTGGTGTTTGCATGTTCTCCCTGTGTCTGTGTGGGTTTTCTCCGGGTACTCCGGTTTCCTCCTACCACTCCAAAAAAAACATACTAGTAGGTGAATTGGCTCCTGTCTAAATTGGCCCTAATATGTGTATATATGAATGTGAGTTAGGGACCTTAGATTGTACACCCCTTGAGGGTTAGGGACTGATGTGAATGTACAATATATATATATATATATATAAAGCGCTGTGTAAATTGACGGCACTATACAAGTACTTGAAATAAATAGAAATAAATAAAATATTCTCTAGGGCCTCTGCTTTAAAAAAAAATCATGTTTGAGGGTTCTATGTAATTTTCTAGCAAAAAAAAAAAAACCCAAAACTTATTGATACATGTGAACAAAAAAGTGCCAGAAAAAGCCTGATCCTTTATTGGTTGGACAGCAAACATGGCCTCCTTTCGTGGGGGGGGTTAGGGGAATTCATTGTTTACAGACGGTAGCTGGAAGGAAGAGAACATTGTTTGATGTCAGGTCTACTCACAGTGAGAAGGACATGACATTTCTGGCCAGGTCAACAGATAATTTCCTGTTCTTGCTAAAAATGTTCTTAGAATAAAAAAGAAAACTGATGTACTCACCCCATCCAAGGACCAGTAAGCTGCAATAAATTACATTTTTGTTCTTGGGTTTAGATACCCGTTGAGGAGATAGAATTGGATCTATCACCTGTTGGACTGAAGCGGACCATGCACATTGTGTTCAGCCTGTACAATGCAGATGGACGAATCTCTTACAACCCCCCACTAGACAATGAAGTTGCCCAATATTTGGTAACCAATAGGGAGTTGCAGAAAATCAAAGAACAACTTAAGTTCTTAGCAAAATGAAAATCTGCGTATGAGTGCATCCTAAAGTGGATGGAGCCAAACCAGAACTTACCTCATAAAAGAACTCCTCTTCTGCATTTGCAAACATCATCTCCTGCTTGCCTTGAGATCCTCCACCTCCAATGGATTTCTTCTCTGGTTCCATGAAAGTTTTGCTGATAATGAGATAGTAATAGCATTTTGCCGCATGGCTTATTGGTTCGCTGGGCATCTGCAAGCTCCTTTCTGTTTGGAAGTGCAAGTGGGAACAGTTAAAGTGACACTAAACAATAGCCTTCAAAAATAATCTATATATATCCACTACTTAATGGTCCTGTAATCTGTTTTTCATTGAATCATTTTTACTGTGTTTTTCTGCCTCCTTGTATGGTTCCCAGTGAACTCCCGAACTTCTCTTTTTTCCCCACTCACTTCTTTCTGTCTGGAATGAGCAGTACACGTTGCAATCATACTGCCCTATGCACACTACAAATCCCATAGTCTGACTCAGGAGTGAGCAAGAGAGAGTGCTACGTCCCTACATACAGTGGGACCACAGAGAAAACATTTTCTAAGCACCGCCTAACAGGACGTCTGATTACAGCAGCCAAAAAAGAAAAACTTAAAAGGAAGCAGAATGCAACAGAAGGTACATTTTGAGCTAAGAATACATACCTGAATAGATTTTTTTTTTTTTTTAAAAAAAAAAACAGAGTTTAGTATGTCTTTAAGTCTAAGGCCCCTTTTTTTAAATGGGGTGAACTCTCAAGCAGATCTGCCTGCTCAGTGGGGGATCTGTCTGATGATCCCTGCTGAGCAGGCAGATGACAGGTACAGAGCCATTTACATAAGATGATTTAGCACAAGATCGTGTGAAACGCGTTAACAAGTCCTGTATTCATGTCCTGGTGTTCTGTGTGTCCTATGGATCAATAAATACACACTATATTCATCTATCCTCCGGAGTGCGGCTGACCCTTCTTCCTATTGCATCGTGTGTGGTGGCGAGCCAGAGCCTGCACCTGTTGTGGATTGATCTGGATTGTTGGGCAGAAGACCTGAATTTTCTCTGCTGCAGTTAAGCAACACGTACCCCTCCCTCTTCTAGAAAAGCTAATCATTTTTATTCTATTTTTTTAATTTGTTATTTCTATTTGTTTTATTCATTTTCATGCTGCAAACAGCACATCTGGGTTTCTGACCTAGGCTGGGCCCTGCTGTCTCCTGGGATAGCTACATCACAGCTATACCAGGAAGCAGTGTGTTACTAAGTGGCCACTGCGCTGCGCATGCATGGTAGATTTGTGCACATGCGTACAAACTCTGCCGGGCCTTATAGTGTCAATCTGTGAGAAGCTGGCAGCGATGTGTGCACATGCAGAAATCCCCCCCGCCATGCACATATGTACCAGCAGTCTCGGCCAGGTACTAGATACCTAGAAGACACCAGCACGACATATATTATTATACAGGATTTATATAACGCCAACAGTTTGCTCAGCGCTTTACAATATAATGGAATACAATACAGCTTCAATACAAGAGGGATTTGAGGGCCCTGCTCATTGGAGCTTACAATCTAAGAGGGAGGGGCTAGTGGTACAAAAAAGGTAGTAACTGTGGGGGATGGAGTGGTTGAAAGAGTAGAAGATTCCAGTATTAGCTGAAGGCAGGATAGGCTTCCCTGAAGAGATAGGTGTTCAGAGATCGCCTAGAAGTGAGCAGAGTGGGCAATCGTCTGATAAATTGGGATAGAGAGTTCCAGAGGATGGGGGAAGCTCTGGAAAAGTCCTGGAGACAAGCATGGGAGGAGGAGACAAGGGAGCTAGAGAGTAGGAGGTCTTGCGAGGAGCGGAGAGTATGGTTTGGGTGATATGTGGAGACAAGATTGGAGATGTAATTTGGGGCAGAGTTATAAATGGCTTTATACATTATTGTTAGTGTTTTGAATTGTATCCGTTGGGCAATGGGAAGATAGTGGAGGGATTGGCAGAGAGGGGTGGCAGATACAGAACGGTTAGTAAGGTGGATGAGTCTGGCAGCAGCATTCATTATAGACTGAAGAGGGGATAGCCTGCGATGAGGTAGGCCAATGAGGAGGGAGTTACAATAGTCAAGGTGAGATATAACAAGGGAGTGAATAAGCTATCACTTAACGGGCGTATCTTGGAGATGTTGGAGGTGAAGTCTACAAGATTTGGACAGCGATTGGATTTGGGGGTGAAAGGACAAATGGGAGTCTAGAATTACACCTAGTACCACATGCACACGTACTTTTAAAGATGGTGGTGCAGAAGAGGGGTGGGGAACCAACTCATTTAGCAGTTTAGTTCCGCTTTAGGAAGAGTATATAGAGTATTCTTGTGTGCCTTTTATATCTGCACGGAGTTCAGCTTTAAATACTGAACCATTCTCATAGCAGCCATGGTCTCCGGCAACCCTTTGCAGATGACCAAGCTCTAATTAGGTCATAAGTTCTACCTCCATCCTGAAATGTAATATAAAAGAGCCGAATGAGTGAATCATTGCTCCACAATGTGGGAGAATAAATTCCCCCCAAAATTTGGCAATAACAATAAACGTTATGCAAATGAGCGTTCGTTAGAACAGAAGTGTGCTGTGTAAACAGAAATACAACATATCGCTGACAGTTTACTATTAAATTACAGGCCTGGAGGCGGCTCATTTTATACCGTGATCTGCTTATATTGTACAAAGCCATTTACAGCCATTACTGCTAGTCTGACCCGGAGGCTCCCTACTTCATTTGTGCTGCAATCTTAACTAGATTTACTGCAGTCGTGTCAGTGCGAAACCCAGTAATTTCTCCATATCTAGGGGTGACCCTTCTCCTGCGCGACACCCACTACTCCGCAATTAACAATTTACAGCCGCCAGACCCAAACGCCACTCTGTGCCGGAATTAATAATGGGATTCATAGTTCATGGCAGGTTAACAAGGAAAGCCCAGGCACCATGCATCATCTGATGGAAAATGCATTCATGAAGACTTTTTTTTTTCGTAATCTTATACTGTTATCACTTTGGTATCATCATATAATTGGAGAGGGCAGGTGAAGGGTTTGTTCAGCTTTATATGAAGTATCACATTTTTAAGGTTTTTGTTTAAAAGCTTAAAGCTGAACACCAGCCAAACAGCTGAATAAACAGATGAAATACACGTGTTAGAATTTATATTGCTGTTCAACCAGTCCAGCGATTTACATAGCTTTGCCACACCATGCCGCACCGACTAGCAGTGCAAAAGATCTCTTTTTCTTTGCTGCAGTTGAGCAACACTTACAGGTCTTGTCCCGTCCCCCTTCCCAGCCCGTGACTGGACAGTGAAAGGAGAAGCAGCAGACTGATCAGCTCATCTCTCTGCTCTCTCCTGCCATTAGCATGTTCCTTGTTAGCATATGAGCACTGCAGAACAGCTGATTGGCTCCTTGTGCTGCTTCTTCTTTGGCCAGTCTAAGCTTTGCTGTACAGAGACTGCAAGAGGCTGATACAATTCAGAATTAGGAACTTACACTGCTTGGATTTCATCTTTAGAGTTCATGCACACTGCTGCTCCTAAACTAATGTTTTTGGGGCGTTTTGGCATTTTTTGCCTAAGCCCCTGAACTCCCCTCAATAAAATTCTAAGTGTCCATAGGCTTTTAGAAGAGTTTAGGAGCTGCAGCCTTTAGAATCAGTCAAAGCTCCTCTCCTGAACGCAGAAGAATCAAATTCAGAAGAGGAGCTTTTGGGCAAAAAAAAAAAAAAAGAAAAGCCAAACATACCTAAAACGTATGTAGACACACTAGTGCTAGCTGCATTTAGCGCTTGAGTTTTTATTCATTTCAATGGCCAGAATAAATTAAAATTCCGGGCAATAAAATTAACAGACTCCCACACGCCAAATGTGCCTGAACACATCAAAACGCGCCTGAACACATTTGAAAAAAACGTGGCCTACGTGTGTTCTTAATGCAGATTTTCTCCCTTAAAGTCCATTTCTAACCAAAACTTTTCTATTTAGTTTTTAGTGTGAAAGGGATAAAATCACTTTCAGTTTTCTATTGCTTTTTGTGGTATAGGCGCGCTGAACTTTATGGTGATAGGTTATGATGTAATATAGGTGCTGTGCGGTCCTGGAGATGGTGGTGTCCTGCTGGACCCTCAGAAGCATTTGTTAAAGTGTTGAGAAGATGGGACTACCACACTAGTTTGTACAGTCCTCTAAAAGGTTTCATTTTGCAACATCCCCCCTTCATCAGGGCTAAAATATACTGGGGAGATTCAACCCTCTATAGATATCCATTGTCACAGGGATGGGAAGTGACAGGGAAATCAAAACTTTACAGAAACTTCCACATCAGACTAGGACTAAGACCACACAATGTGAGGCCTCTGTCGGTGAGATGAAAATTAAGTTGAAGCATAAGACATGAGGATTATTATGACAGAAGAAACCCTATTGGTCTCTTCTCTCATAAATGCTTCTCTTTGACGGTCAATGTTGTGTGCATGCGAAGCTCGGTGTACATTTACAGCACCTCATCTGCTATGAAGATGTGACTCCCATGCACGGAAGTGACATCATTGCAACCTGGCCAATCAAGCAGCTAAAGATGGAGCACTGACAGCACAGCGCTGGAGGGGATTGTATGGCAGGTAATTCTGCCATAATGTGCTAATCCACTGTGCATACTAGCACATTAAAGCCAACTGACAAAACGCGTTGGTAAAACCCAGAAGCCATGACGTCACCACGTACAGTTGTGTTCAAAATAATAGCAGTCAGACATCACTAACCGGATCAATCACTGTTTTTGGTAGAAATGATATTTCTACATGGCAAATAATTTACTAGCAGGTGTAGTAGAGTAATAGAAATCCAACAGACCCAACAGTCATGACATGCATGCTGCTGATTCTGTGTAATTGAATCACTAATTGAAAGGGGCATGTTCAAAATAATAGCAGTGTGAAGTTCTATTAGTGAGGTCATTCATTCTTTGAAAAACAGGTGGCAATTATTGCCCTTATTTAAGGAAGGAAGGCAGCAAATGTTGTACATGCTGGTTACAGTGCATTTCTCTCTGAAATTCTGAGGAAAATGGGTCGTTCCAGACATTGTTCAGAAGAACAGCGTACCTTGATTAAAAAGGTTGATTGGAGAGGGGAAACCATTTAAAGAAGTGCAGAAAATGATAGGCTGCTCAGCTAAAATGATCGCAAATGCTTTAAAATGGCAACCA